AAAAAAAAAAAAAAACTAAGAACCAACTGATCAATCGCCCAATAAAAACTAAAGTTTTATCTAACATTTGAATTATTAAGTACTACAATAGTACAAAAGTCAGCTAAAAAATTGCCTTCTTGGCTCAGATGGCAGAGCGTCTGCCTAGTAAGCAGAAGGTCACCAGTTCGATTCTGGTAGAAGGCAAGTAAAAGCGTAGATGGTTTAGTGGTATAATTGCCGCCTGCCACGCGGCAGACCCGGGTTCGATTCCCGGTCTACGCATTTTTTACAGATGTAATTCACAAAATACACATATTTTGAATTTCTTTTTACAAAATACTCATTTCCCAAAATTAATGTAAAGTAGTCAATAAAAATTAGTTAAAACTTAATTATATTACGTACTATTTTTCTGTGAATATTATTTGTTGCCACTTTTCAGAAAAAGTCTTGTTTAAGTTTTGTGAATTAATATTTCCATTTTTGGTTTTAATACTAAAATAAGAATATAGTATTTTCAGTTTCTTATTTGCCTACAATGTTCTTTTTTGTTTACTCTTTTTCATTCCATGAGTCATTTTCAGAGCTGTCAGAAAATTCACTGGCTTTGTTTTTAGTAGTAACATCTCAAAAAAGTTTACATATAAAGGTCAGTTAGAACAAATTTTTTCTATTTTACTTTTTTTGAAATTCATATTGAAATATCACCTATCTTTGATGTTGATTTTTTTATTAAGATATATTTCTCTGATATTAATATGTATAAAAGTAAGTTTGCTAAAATAAAACTGGATCTTTTAAAATAATATATTTAATATTTTAAAGTCTCCATCGAATTTTAATCAATCCGAACCTCTTAAAGACAAAAGTGATGATAGTGATACAACTATTGTTTTAGAATTGAGAGATATTTATAAAGATGAATTCTTTTTAATTCATGACATTAGATTTTTAAATTCAAAAATCAATTGCTCTATCAAGTTTCTCAAGTCTAGCAATGTTCAAGTTGAAGTAGAATGTTTAAGCAAAAAGTGCAACTTTCATGTAGTATATAGAAGCTCTAGTAGAGTAAACTATTGGAAATTGAAAGAATACTCTGTTAAATTACACAGTTGCATATTCTATAAAAATTTTGAAAACACCAACAAAACAGCCTCAAATTTCAAGATTTTAAGTAAAATACTTAAAAAAAAACCAAGATTTAAATCTCTAATTATAAAAAATGCAACTTCAAAAATAAAACAACATTGTGGTCTTAGCAAAAAAGAGGAGTTATCCATAAATCACTTGTAGTATCAAAAGAAGCAAACTATATAAACAAAGCAGATGTATACATGTATACGAAAGAATACACAAACAAATTAAAAAAGAAAATGAAATAGGAGTTTTAGAAACTGAAATAATTCAAAATATTGATACTTTTAAAAGAATACTTGTGCCAACAGAACCACAAATTAAAGCCCTAGAACTTTCTATTGGCGTGATATTTGTTGATGCTACCCACCTTTTTCACGAATCCTGTAAAAAAAATACTCTCAATGTGGCTTCAACTCTAGATGGACTAAATAACATTTTTAAATTATCTCAAGCAATTGTTTCTGCAGAAAATGGTGAAAGTTGGCTTTGGATTTTCGAGAATATAAAAAAAGTTGATAAAAATCAAAAAATTTCAGTTATATTATCTAACAGAGACAAAGGACTACAAAATTTGTCTAAAGAAATGTTTGGGGATAATACAGCTCTATCATGCTGTGTAAGGCATTGTAAGCAAATTTTTCAAAAAAATCTGGAAAAAAATACACTCAAAACATTATGGATCTTGCAAAATCATTCAACAAAATAAATTATGACAATAACATAAAAAATCGTATGAATCTTCCTTCAGGAAAAACATGGTAGAATGGATTTAAAACTCTAATCCCAATACTTGATCTAGATCTCTAATGACAACACCAAGATATGGCGCAGTTACATCTAACGCAATTGAAGCAGTATTTTCCACTATAAAAAAACCAAAAAACTTTCCTGCTCTTGACCTTTTGGTTTGTTTGGAAAACTACATACTTGAAAAAAGGTAAATTTTGTTTTTATTTTATTTTTGCTTAACTTGAATTTTAGACCGAAAAAGCTGAAAAATATATGCTTTATAATAAAAACATACTTCTTCCTATTGTAATGAAAAAAGTGGAAAAAAATTGGAAACTGAGCTTATTTTGCATTATCGACAAAAAAAACAAAAGACCAAGTGGTTCATATAGCAGCACTAGGATCTCCCTATAAAATGGTTGTTGATTTGCGAAACAAAATGTGTACTTGTGGGGAATTTCAAAAGCTTGGATGCCCATGCTTTCATACATTAGCAGCAGCAATTTATTTAAAAGTTGAAATTCATTCACTGTGTTCAGATCATTTTAAGATATGCGAGTATTTTAATATGTATAATGATGTTTATGAATTTAGGGGAACTGTTGGAAGTGATTTAATTTTTTTTCCAGGAAATCTATCAGGTCCAGCTATAAAAAGTAAACCACGAGGTTGACATAAAAAAAATAATTGAGTCGCAAAAGGAAGTTGTAACAGTAAACAAAAATTACCTATATCAAAGAATACCATTGAGCTTGGGACTGATACCATGGAAACAAAAAGGGAATATAAGTGTAAAAATATGGAACCAAAGGACACAATATTTTGACTTGCAACAAACTAACCTAATAAATTTTATTAATAGTTTTTCTTGATATCAAAAAATAAACCTTAAATAATCATATTTCTTCTAATTTTAGGTTGTTCAATAGATTTACTTATGACTCCAGAATAGTATTGAGATTTTTGTATAGCTAGTAGTTTGATATAATCACTGGCTGTAAGGGCACTAAAAAGAGGAAAGAATGTTTATTCAGAAAAGAGGAGAAAACTAATTGAAAAGCTTAATTTCCCACTTTTGGGAAATTAAGTATATATAATGAAAATTAAATGAAACACATAAAAGGGGTAGATAAGAAATTAACCAATAAATTGGTTTGTTACACTGGCCATATACCAATACATCTTTTCTAGTTTATTTTCTGTTGATTAAAACAAATTACGTAAAAAAACAAGATTCAGAATGGTTTAAAGTTCAAGTAATTGTAATGATCTAGTATATTCAAGAAATTTTTTTTTTTTACTTTTGAACAAAATACATTCAATACCAAGAAGCTTCTCTAAAAGATATTAAAACCAGTCTGTAGTTTAAATAAAAATTTATCCAGACCTCCAGTTATTTTTAATAAATCATGGGTCAAGATTTTAAGAATAACTCAGAGCAGTCTAAAAAAAATGTTATTGATAGGGATAAAAATTTATATATATCTAGGAAATTGTTATCAACCACAATAGTCGTCAAACAATTAACTTGAAACAATGTTGTCAATAATGAATCCAAGTGCATTGTTGGCACTATTATAAAATGTGTCATAAAAATTCGTATCACTATCATGAAACAAACAATATTATTTTAAAATAATCAAGTCATTTTTATGAAACAATCGTGTTATTATTAAAATTTAAGTGCTATTGTTAGCATTATCATGAAACATCAAAGCTATTGTTAAATTAAACAATACAAAGTTGGAGAACATATTAAATAAGTTTTATTTATCTTTGTTAGTATTCCATTTTTTGTATATAAACTTGACCTTTTTCCATCCTGAGGAAAAGGTTAAGTGAAAAATTCTTTTATTTATACATTAAAAAGTAATAATTCACATATTTAACTCAAGTTTTAACATATTTTAATTTAAATTCCTGGTAGTATCTGCAAGAAACGTTGAATAGATTCACTATTAAGATATTTGAATTTTTGCACCCAGTGCTTCAACTGCTATTTTTATCGGTTTTAAAGAATTCAAAGTGTTTTTTACAATTATAGTATATTTCAATTCCCACATATCTTTTAAGTTTAAATTTTCTAAAGCAAGCTGAATATATTTGGTAATTTAGTAGACTGTTCTAACATTCTTTCAAGGATATTCCAGCGAGTTTTACTGTCAAATAGTAGGAATAATTTTTTTCTTTTCCATCTATTACATGTCCCTCAGGACTGAGTTTTTTACTGTTGATTTTTTAAAATTTTTTACTATTTTTTTATTCTTTGTATTGTTTCCCTTATTATAAATGTTTAGCTCAGAATATCAAATCCCTACCCTTTATTTTAGCTATCTGATTCAAACTCTTCACATTTGTTTCCTGAATCTGCTATTTCTTTGGCAATGATGTAAAAGTTTTGAATATAATATAATTATTTAATCAGCATTTTTGTCGTAGTACAAATTAAAATGGTATTTATGCAAAGACGTCTCCAATATATCTGGAATGGGAATGTGCAGGTTTTTTCTTTGTAGAAAAAGAAACTTTCTGCAAAGGCTTTTTTATACACATTTCTATCTGTGATTGAGGAAGACCGTCTTTTATTTTCTATATTATTACTTTTATCACTTTACTAAAAAATCTATATAAAGCCCAACGAAGGACTACTAAATGGGCATCATCTTACTATTAACTCTATTTCAAACTTCTATTAAATAAACCAATAACAAATACCTATATTTTGTGAAACACTTAATTAAACAACCTTATAGTGCCTACAGAATAAACAGGCGACATAAATGGAACCTAGCGCGGGGGGTGAACAAAAACCACGCAAAGAAATCTTATCATCAATGTCAGGACAAAAATCCAACAAAAAGTCGGACGTCGAGAAAACAGAATCAAGTCCTATTGTAGAATCTAAACCCAGAATCAAGAACATACCTAAAGTTTTTCCAGGAACAAGTGGTGCACCTGTTTTTGATGGAAAAGGTCTGACTGATTTTTTAGTTTATTATGATATAATAACCATCAACAACTCTGATTCTGAAAAAACAGCATTATTTCCTTATTACTGTAATGCTGAAGTTCGATTAATTGTTACCAAGTCCATTGCTTACATTGATAAAAATTGGGAAAATTTCAAACAGGTTTTAAATGATTATTATAATGAAGAAGAGGAAGAATCAAAAATAGAAAAAGAACTGCTTAGTCTTGTCAAGTCGGGGACAGAATTAATTGACATTAAAACATATCTTCATAAATTTGAATTTATGGTAAAAAAGTTAGAAAGATATCGAACTCTTAGTGACCGTGAGAAAAAAGAGCTGATATTAAAAAGTTTAAAATCTAAAGAACTTGAAAGCTTTCAGAATCAGCTTTATACTGAAAAGGGTGATATATTGGGTTTTAATGAGCTTTTGAAAAAGTTAAAA